CCCTTATTTCACTTAGGATAATTTCCTCCAGGTTCATTGATGTTATCACAACTGGCAAGTTTTCCTTCTTTTTTTTCTTTTTTTTTATAGCTGAGCCATCCTGCCACCTGTTGGCAGCTCAGCGGCTGCTCAGCTCGGGCTGACTCGAACCGCTGTTGCTCAGAGCTCAAACTCTTGAGCGAGCTCTTAACCAACTGAGCCACTCAGCCGGCCCCTCCTCTTTGTGGTTTTAATTTGCTTTTCCTTGACGAATAATGAGGTTGAACATGTTTCACATGGTTATTGGATAATCAAACATTCTTTTCTATAGTCAGTGTCTTTAACCACTGTCAGTCCATACGGACCTGCGCTGGTGGGGGCACTCTAATCCAGAGGCCCTTCTCCCTTTCTGAGTGAATGGGGGCTGGTTGTCCCAGTCTCCAGGCCTGGCGAGGGGCTGTATCTCTCAGGCACAGGTGAGCCCTCGGCCTGTGCATTATGCACGACTATGGAGCCGCCTGGCCTGCAAAGCACTGGCACATTGTCAGGATGCCTTTTTCCTTATCTTCCTTCCAGCTGGCTGGGCTAGTCTGGGCCTCTGGAAGCCAGGGTGGTACTGAGGAGTGGGCAGGCTCCAACTGGAACCTCACCAGGCCCGGGATCTAGAGAGGGGCTGTGAGGAAAAGCCCTGCACCCTGCAGACCTCGGTTCAGCATCCTCAGGCACCAGCCCATCACTCTCTATTCCACTCTTCTAAACTGCTTGGTTTCCCCACACTGCCATTATGTGTGCTCACCTCCAAGAGCTTCACACATACTGCTCCTTCTGCTGGGATAGTCTGTATCCCTTTCTTCTGCTGTGTTAACTACATATCCTTCAGATTTAAGCTGAGATGTTGCCTCCTCAAAGACTCCTTCCTGACACCCCCCACACACACACACACACACACACTGTGATAGAATGTATAATGGCTCTCCATAGGATATGCACCTCCCGATCCCTGGAACCTATGAATGTTCACTTATATGGCAAAAAAGGACTTTGTAGATGTGATTAAGTTAAGGATCTGAAGATGGGGAGATTATCTTGATTATCTGTGCGGGCCTTACATGGAACAACTGTCCTTATAAGAGGGAGCCCAAGGGAGATTTGAAATAGAAGAGAAGACACACACACAGAGGAAGCAGCAGTGTGACCACGGAGGCGGAGACTGGAGTGATGCAGTCACAAGCCAAGGAATGCCTGCTGGAAGCTGGAAGAAGTAACAAATAGATTCTCCCCTAGAGCCTCTGGAGGGAGCGCAGCTGGGAGAACACATCACTTTAGGACTTCTGGCCTCCAGAACTGTGATAAAATAAATTTCTGATGTTTAAGCCACCAAATTTGTGGTACTTTGTTACAACAATCCTAGGAAACAAATCCACCTCATTTGGCTCTGTTAGTTGGTCCCCATCTGTGCTCTCCTTTTAGAACACTCCTGATGGGGCGTATTAATTGTTTAACAGCAGACTCACCTAGCAAATTCTGAGCTCCAGGAGAACAGGAGCAGGTCTGCCATGTTCCCTGTTATATTCCCAGCACCTGGCCCCAGTACAGCAAGCCTGGCATACAATAGGTGCTCAACAAATAATAAAGGAAGAAAGAAAGAGCAGGAGAAAAGGAGAAGGCAGGCCATCCACAAAAATTCTGGTTTTGCTTGGAGGGATGGTGTGGAGACAAATCCTAAAGGCCCCAAGACTGGAAGAACAGCATTGACTGAGGCCTGCTTACAGGTGACAGTGAAACAGTGGACAGAGGGAGGCTGGAAGGCCACCAGAGGACCTGCCTCTTCCCCCAGGACTCCAAGGCAGCGGTAAGGGCTCTAAGTAGCATCAGTATCAGGGCTGTAGGCAGGGTGATAGCCCTCATAAATGAGGAGCTTTCCCTGTCTTTCACTGGCAGTTCCTGACTCCCTCATCACCTGCCTCTTAGGGCTTCGCATGGTCCCAAATCTCAACTTTCTCTTTTGTCCTTTTTGGACCCACTCAGCTTCAACAGTTGAGGGCTATAAAGTCCAGAAAAGACCATCTTGTCTAACCTCCTCACTGAAAAAATGGGGAAATTGAAGGGCCGGCCGAGTGGCTCAGTTGGTTAAGAGCTCGCTCAAGAGTTTCAGCTCTGAGCAACAGCGGTTCGATGCCCGGCCCGAGCTGAGTTGCCGCTGAGCTGCCAACAGGTGGCAGGATGGCTCACCTAAAAAAATGGGGAAATTGGGCTCACCTAAAAAAATGGGGAAATTGAGGCACAGAGAATGCCAGGGATCTGTTCAAGTTCACGCAGCATGACATCAGCAAAAGAGCTGAGGCTGAAAACTGGAAACTGGACCCAGATGTGGGCCTCTGCTCTGCCCCAGGAGTCCTTTGTATACATTCTGAGTGACGTCTTCCAGGACAATCAAAGTGACCGAGATCACAGAGAAAGGAGAGATCCTTGTCCCTGCCGGGTGGTAGGAGACATGAGGTAAGTAGCCTCTGGACCTTCCCCATTGAAGGTTCAGTGGGCCTTCTCTGCCATGTACTAGATTCTACAGCCCAGCCCTCATGTCTAGGTCAAGGCCACAGGGTCACTAACACATGGAATGTCCTTTGAGACCACTGAGTTCAACCCCTCCTGTACAGAAGAGGAAACTGAGGCTCAGAGAGGGCAAGGGACAGGACCCAAGCCACACAGCAGCTCCAATGCAGAACTAGGGCTAGAACTTGACTTACCTTGACTCCCACTCTGTGGTTCTATGGCAGATGCTTCTCACTGCCTCCCTACAGTCTTCACCTTCATTCTCTCCCTCTTCACTACCCCATCCCCACTCTCCTTAGATGGTATTTGAAGGTCCCCTGTTCTTATGAAGGATTAGTTCTTCCCCAGACTCAGAGGATGGATTATGATTGGTTTAAACCAGTCATACCAATTTTGCTTTCTTTAGAAAGTGATAAATTGGTGGCATGGGACATTTGATGCAGTTTTAGCCAATGAGATATAAAGGATCATCTATAGGGAAGGCTATCCATCCTAAATAAAAAGACAGTGCCTCATTAGGAGAAAGATTTTCTCCTGATCCCTTCTTTTGGCATTGGATGTGAGGTCTAGAAGTGCAGCGCCATCTTGGGACCACGAGGCAATAAGTATGAAGACAAAAGCTGGCATGCTTAAAGATGGTCACGATGAAATAGGAAAGGAAAAAAAAAAGAAAAAGGGAGGGGAACTTCAACCCTGCTTACAATATCGTTGAGCCTAACACTGTCAACCTCAGATTTTCTGGTGATGGGAGGAAATAAACTCCTCTCACTTGAAGGAACACTAACAGGGCTTTCTGTTACTTGTAGAGGGAAGAATGCCTAACTTAGAAAGATCTTTTTAACATAATCTCTTCATTACCCTTTGAGATGGCCAGGCTAGATTCTAGCATGCTCATTTTATGGACAGGGAAACTGAGCTACAGAGTCTATGTAGTTTAAATGTCTTCCCTCAAGTCCTCACAAACTCCAGATCTGATGGAAAGGCAGGCATTTTCTTTGAGGTAGAAATACACTCTCTAAACAAGCACGGTCTCATCACATTGTGTGGGCCTGTGTTTGTAGGGACAACAAATGGCCCTGAAGGTGGCCATGGTTTGGGAAACCCTGGCTGCCCTACTGGTTCATCTGGAGGTTTGTCCTGGGAGAAGTGCTGGGGCCAGTGATGGATAGGAGGAAGTATGGTGGGTTTTAGTTAATTAACAGAAAGTGCCTCCATTCTAAGGAGAAAAAGAAATCCGCTGTTGGAGACATTTAATGAAATCAAAACTATCTTTAATCCATCTATGGAAAGGAATAGATGAATTCTACTGATTCTAGATGTACCCTGAAGCCTGTTATTAAAACCAAGACAACCCAAGCTACAGATCACTAGGGCCTCTTTCACCTCTGGGTCTCTGAAGAACAGGGTCTCATGTCCTGTCCCCCTCTGCAGTGGAGAGAGTGTCCAGCTGGGAGGTACAGATGCCCTCCCAGCCCCTCACCCTGGCTGGAGCTTTGCTTGCTGGAAAAGAAGGATGAGCAGATCCTAGAAGTAAGGAGGCCTTCCTGGAAGAAGGCTCCCTTGTGCATGAGCTTCTTGGCTTGCAGAGCCCATCTCCACACAGATTCAATCCACACAACATTGTGTATTCAGGAATTAATTCTTCTACAGTAACAAACCCACCCCACAATGTCAGTGGTTTCACATACTAATAAAAGTTTATTTCTTGCTCTCATCACAGACAAATGTGGGTATTCCTGGTTGATAGGTGGACTTCCATGTAGTGGCTGAGGACTCCAGGCTCTCTGTACACTGTGGCTTCACCCTCCATTTGGGCTCTACACCTCCAAAAGATGGACAAAGAGCAAATGAACAAAGCAGAGTTGTTTCTTAAGGAAACACATCATTTTATCGATAGTTGAAGTTCTATTCAGCAAGTTTGGTCATATGGCCCCATCCAGGTGCAAGGGAGGATGGGAAATGTAGTTTCCAGCTGGGCAGCTGCTTTGCAACAGCTCAACAGTAGGGCAAATGAAGCAAGACTTTTGGATACAGCCA